CCCCAAAACCCCAAAACCCCAAAACCCCAAAACCCCAAATATTATTTTATAAATAGAATTAGTTGCTGTATACTATTGATATAAAATATGTTCAAGGGACTTTTTGTCATATTTTTACTTACCATTGCAGTCTGAGTAGCGAGGACTCCGGATTCTGAGGAATGTGACGCACAGAGAAAATGAAAAGAACCCTTTACAAGCTGTATAGAAGGTTATTGAGAGCATAAAGGTGTCTTTCCAGCTGAATGGCAAGAGGTACTAGGAGCAAGCCTTCTGTTTGTAACGACTGCTATGTGAAATGCTGCTGGTATTAGTGGCGGAGGGATCATAGTTACCATTGGTATAGGTCTGTTTTATCTTTCGTCAAAAGAAGCAGTCGCTATGTCCAACGTGCTAATTTTCTTTGGATGAGTTACTAGATTCACTATCAACTTTAAGCAGAGGCATCCTCTTAAAGATGCTACATCGATTGATTATGGTGTGGTAACATGCCAGTTGCCACTTGTCATGCTTGGCACATTCCTTGGAGTGCAGTTGAATGAGCTTTTGGCAGAAACTCTAATTTTTATTCTCCTTTTTCTGACCTTTGCTGCTCTGACATATCGATCATTTCGCAAAGGTATTGATGTTTCAAAGCGAGAGAAAAGAGAAAAGAAGGAAAGAGCCAAATGTCTTGATGAAACCAGACTACTTACAGGTATCACTTCAATTCTTTATCTTCAAAATTCTAAAATTTCTTTAATTAGTTGTGCTTATAAATGTTCTATCCAGAATGTTCTATAAAGATTACATGACAAATTAGTTCGAATCTTGATAAATTATAGCTAAAATTAATATCTAGATCACCCTCAAGTAGAATCAATTAGTTCCATAAAAGAGACAGAAGAATATAAAGGTAAATGACAAACTTCTGATAAGTTTCCTCTATTTTCTGCCTTATTTGTTATTCCAATGCTAAAATGAGCTCATTTTCCCTAACTTTGAAATAGAGTAAGTAATCACAACAAGAAAGACCTAATGGATTTTACAGGACAGAAAATGAAGTCACAGCTTTTCATTCAGTTGCCTATAATGACACAACCCTTATTCCAAAAGACCGAAATAGACAGGCTTACATGAGCTTGAGAGAAAACATCAATATCACTCTTGCACAAGGAGAAATAATCGATTATAACACTAAAGGGATTGACAGTGAAGATAGAGATCATCTTCTTGGAGAACGTAAAAGTGCGTACAATGTTGAGCATATGAACCCTACCCTGGAAAAGTACATTCGTGTAGAGAAATCTCATTTCAGGCCACGCTACATTCTCACAGTCATCTGTCCCTTCCTGTCAATCCTGTTCATAGGACTTTTTAGAGGCAATAACACGATAGATTCGATCGTTGGTGTGGAAGTGTAAGGAATCCATTTTCTACTAATTAAAAAATCTTGTTAAGCTCATGTATTTATAGATGAAGCGCATGGTACTTCATCCTGCTTGGAGTCCAAGTTATTGTCCTTGCCTTGCTTGGCCTTATCAATGTCCTCATTCTCAGAAAAGAGTACCGAGAGAAGATAGAATGAGGATATCAATTTGTATCAGGAGACGTTATATGGGATGACAACACTACTACCAAATTTGTGATCTTTGCCCTAATTGCTGGCTTCGTCTCTGGATCAGTAGGCTTCAGTAGAGGTGTCTTGTTTACTCCATTGTTTATTGACTTTGGTATTCCTCCTACTGTGGCTTCTAGCACATCTATGTATATGGCTACTTTTGCTACTTTGAGCAGTAGTATTCTGTTTATGATGAGCGGATACATTATTTATGATGTGGTGTTCTATCTCAGTGCTTTTGCCATTATAGGAACTATCCTGGGAACTACTATTGTAAGTCAAAAGATTAGGAAATCAGGTAATGTGGCAATACTCATCTGGCTGATTGCTACAGTAAACTTGCTTAGTTGTATCGCAGAGATCATAGTTGGAATAGTCAGAATAATAGGTAAGAAACTTTATTTTCTTCGGATTCTAACTTTTAAATAGACAAGAATAACAGAAAAGATGAGATCTGGGATTTCACAACTCCTTGATAATAACTAAAATTCAATATTGCAGCATGGATGAGGGGTTTTGGGGTTTTGGGGTTTTGGGGTTTTGGGG